TATGATCACACAAGCTCTGCAATTCTTTCTGATCACTCAATTGTTACTTATTGAACAATTGAAATTTTAAGGTTTTTAAATTTAAGGTTTTTCAGCTGCTGCAGAATAAAGGTACTTTGGAAAATTGTAACTTTGGGTTAATTCCCATTTATTCTGTATTTTTTTCAGGGAATTTATTTCGGTTCTTTATGCCAGACTTCGTGCTAAGAGCTAAGGACACAATGATTGAATAATGCAGGAGAGTTTGCCTCTTTCATCATCACCTAGGCCGGGAGAAAGGTGTGACTCACTGCAATGCAATATTAAAACTCTTGTTTTGCAGGTTTGATCAAACCAATGTGATGCAAAAGTGTCTCACAAAGTAAAGGAGACTGTTTGCTACTCCACAGACATTCTTTGGTAATTCAGATACAACTTTTAGGGACCAGAGACACACTGAATTGCTATGACCTACTGCTATTTTAGGAAAGACCATGGCCATGGTGAGATTCTCTCACAAGTCTCTTGAGCAGTAGTCATTGGCAAAGGGGAATCAGAGTATGACTGAAAATCCCTCGCTACTCCTCTCGTTGAGAAATTGAACCTCTTTTCTCTAATTCCCTTCCCTTTGAATGTGGGCTGATTTAGGGGATCTCTTGGCGAAAACAATGTGGCAGAAGTGACCTGAGATGTCCAAGCCTATGTTGTGGAAAGACTTGTCTGAGCCTCTTATAATCCTCATGCTGAGGAAATCCAGCTGCCATGTAGGAAATTTAATGACTCTAAGACCTCTGTTCTCAAGCTAACCATTCAGAGAGTCTGTAGAAACAGAGAGAAGGAGAGAGATAGCAAGGGTGGGGTGGAGAGAGAGAGAGAGAGACAGGGAGAAAGGAGAGAGAGAGGACAGAGGAGAGAGAGAGAGGAGAGAGGAGAGAGAGAGATCTGGCCATTTCCAGCCATCTCAGCCCAGGCCTCAGAGGTGTGAGTCACGGAGCCATTTCGCGCATTCCAGCACAGCACACAGCGAGAAGAACCAGGGTAACTCAGCCCACAGTTAGAACGGAAGCACCAGCCATATGTCTCCATGTGAGCTGCTTCGGCTGTCTCCAGTTGTTCTAGACACTCAGCCAAGGTCACAATCATGGTGGAGTAGAGAAAAGCAGTCTCTGCCTGAAGTTTTGACCACCAAAATCATGAACATAATAACATCATTGTTTAATGCCACCAAATTGTGGTGTGATTAGTTTTGCAGCATTGGATAACCAGAATAGGGCAAGAAAGGAAGATGCTGGCCAATCCTCCGATAGAAAGATTTCTGGTCACACATAAGATAGTGCCATGGTGACTCCTGGGATATGCTGAGGTGAGGGGCAGAGGCAAGTGGAGGGAGAGATCTGTCATTTTGTGGGGAGGGGGCAGTTAATCCAGGAAACATTTGGCTCATACTTCTACAGACAAG